GTTATGTTAAAAATAAGCCCTAGCTACGCTTGCGGTTGGAGATTGTCGGCAGGAGGACTGTTCAGTTTAGATGTTTAGAAGATTGAGAGCAAAGGAAAGAATTAATTTGAAATCCAAAAGAAATTGCAAGTCTGTTCTGCGCCAGTATAGCTCTGTAGTCCCACCTTGATCAGGGACACATTTTACTTTTTAATGGAGATTCTAAAGACTATGCTTCAGCTACATGTACACAGCAACTCTATGGCAAGGAGTGTGTTGACCCGGATTGAAAGAAAAAAGAAATAAAGCACAGGATAATTACCCACAAGAGGAAAATAGATAAATAATAAATAAATACACGATAATAAATTGAGTTCGCAGTAATACATATGTTAAATCCCAGGTCAAAATAGATAATAATTAGAAGTATTAAAAACCACTTTAAAGATAATGTATTGGCCGTTTTTATACACACTTTGCTTTTCTGTGACAATATTCAGTGGTTTCGTTTGGTGTGTCATTTTAGCTTTGACTTTGTCTGTCATTTTCTTATCTGTATTAACTGAGCATTTGAGTTGTGAAATAAACACAGTGTAGTTGCTTCTAGTAATAAGACACACTCAGTTTCTACTCTATATTCGTATTTTAATACAACACAAATTTACAATGTATGTTCACGTTAAATGTCTTCATGTCTACCTTTTTTTATCATCAGCCTGTGATGCAAACAACGAAATTCAGAGAAAGCAGACACATATATTATGAATATCTCCATTCTTATGATTTTGGTTTAGAGATATTCTGTAAGTTATCATTCTTGCATAAGAAAGCACTCTTTTAGTCTGACCTTAAAAGTTTCCAAAACTAATAAATAAATAAATAAATAAAATAAAATAAAATAAAATAAAAGTCATTTCCATTTACATCACACATACCTAACACTGTATTTCTTTATTTCTATATGATAAGGACAGTAGGCTGAGAAAAATATTTGCAGGGGCAGGGGGAGGGGATAGGAGCTTATTCCCCTCCCCCACCCCGCCCTACATTTTCAGCCACGTCAGTTCTTAGCGGAGAAGAGGATGATGGGCCCCGTTCATTTTTTACCACTTTAAATATTTATAAACAAGTTCTTGATATATTGCATCGAGGACCGAGACCCCAGTCAGTCGATGGCCAACTTCAAGTGAGTAATTTTTTCGTTGCCCCAACCCCTTCTCCTACTCGGCGATTCAATGTTTGCACTGATGTCATATTTGCCTGCAGCTTGACAGACGAGACACTTACTTGGCATGGACGTATTTTACTGATAAGGTTGGACCTAGAGGAGTGGTCAGGAACCCATTACAGAGAACGACTTCTCACTGTCCTTGTTCATCCCCTAGCTTCAGGTTAAACATACCATATCTCATAACATTGGTTTATAGTCATGTTATTCAATTGATATTTTCATTCTTACAAAATCAGTTGATTGTGGACAGAAATTTTGCTATTTTACAGAAAGAGCTTATATTGTTATTATGGTGACGATGTGGTACGTGTGCTTGTAAATGAAATTAGCTAGAGGATTTCGTGGGCTTCATTGCGGCAGTTGCCCCTCTCCCAAAATCTGGGCTTCATGAATATTTGAAGACAATGAAAAAAATGATGACTTCGACAAAGACGAATGACGGGGAAAAAGACAACAATGAGCAGAAATTTCGGTATCTTTAATTATTACTTTTAGTGTTGGTGTTTTATTGTTGAAAATGCCCTCACCAATCTTTTACTGCTTTATTCTTTTTTATCAACGTATTATGATGGGCCCGGGAATGTTCAAGTTGGAGCATTGGTGCAAAATATGTAAAAGAAAAAAAAACTAAAGAAAATGGCATGAAAAATGTCAAGAAAAAGGGCGTCTGGGCTTTCATTCCTAGGACTACCACTCCTATCACAAAAAAACATAAGCCAGGTTCCCTGGCTAAGAACTTAATTACCAAGGTTACACAGTCATATGGGCACATCTCACCCTATCAGGAGCAGTGTAACAGCACTCTCATGGTATTTCTAGACAGGGAACTGAATTTTATTATTTTTTTTATTATTTATTATTTTATTTATTTTATTTTATTTATTTATTATTATTATTTTTTTTTTTTTGTGTGTGTGAAACTGGGGCCTGTTACACCGGTACACACGCTGTCTTAATATATGTAGTTTGGCGTTGTTTTACGAGAGATCAAAAGCAATACCCATTTCCATATTTGAATATTATAAATGACTGCCGGGAACTCTTTCATTTGCAATTTAGATTTTTTTAGATAAGATAACATCCCGATACGATATCTACTAATGTATCCACCCGTTATAAAACAGGTACAATATCCCATATCAATTCACCGTTAGTCAACATTAACAAAAATTTTGGATTAAATATTGAGACCAATTTTCTGGCGACAGTTCTTTTATTTCGGGAAACTTGTCTATGAGCACCCTTTTGCAGAATGATACACTATAAAATTAATTGTTACATTACACTTCTATTTCATCGTTTAATATAGAATTTGCATTACAACCTTTACAGAATTCATATAATAAGTATAAATAAATTCAAAGTCATTTAGACGTTGCAATTATTTATTCGTTAGTTTTGACACACCTCTTCTAAGAAAATATCAGAAGGTTATAGCGCTCTTTTTAAAGCATATAAAATGCAATGTACTGGTTCATATACTAGCTTGTGGATTGTTGTGAGTGTCACTGCCCGGCTAAAATATGAGGCCAAGTGGTGTTCGTTTAAAATACTCAACAGATGATCTCATCTACGATGCATTTCCCACATACATTATCAGTTAATTACTATCGCAGTCGGTAGCTCCATCTACCGGTGCACAGTGTAATGTTTTAAACACTATATTATGTTAATAGATTACCCCCATCGCAGAATGGACCACAATATTTCATTTCTGTCCGATTATGTTGTAGAAAAAATGTCTGAACTCTTATTTTTAGCTTCTTTTCCATACAAACGAAGGCATCTCTTTCTGACCCGTAATTTTCCCCCAAAACAACGCAACAAAACTGTTACGTACAGTAGGGTCAACGCAGTTGTTCAGAGATAGGCATAATGTGCACTTTAAATATATAATACCGGTACACTGCATAAAAGTGACAATCACTTTATAAAGTGCGTCAGCAACGAAAGTCAATTAATTGTCTTTTCTACAGTACAAAGCTCACCACCTCTTTTCCAGCTAGCAGTTACCAACAGTTTGGTATAAAAACAGTTTTCAAATAAAAAAGAACGAAGGTAAGTAAAGCAAAGGCACCATGTTCTGACATGCAAAAGAAGCAATCAATTATCTTTTGGTTTGTTTTCCAACAAGGCAAGCTTCAGTCTTTTCCAGAAAACGTCCCTTTTGCGCAACCGCAGGTCTGGCCAGTAAAGACATTGGCAATGTCGTATCATAATCCCCATTGGCTGCGGTAGTTGGGTTTTATCAAAACGTTCTTCAAATATGAAAATAACCGAGCAAATTTTCCCTCCAAAGAGCTTAGTCTTGGCCAAATTCAGTTCAAAATCACAAACCTCGCTTTCCAGAAAGTTTTGAGTAATCCAGAAAATGACACTGTAACTGCCGTCCATGGCTCCTTCAACACTTTCTACAATAGAGTTGCCGGGAAGGAAATTGCGCTCATGGATACAAAGACGAAAGTTGAATTGTTCGTCATTTTCCAGATTTGGGATCAGCTCGGCAGCAACCCAGGCCGTATCCAGTAAACTATACGAAACAAAGGCATCGAATATCTTCACAAGGTTGACGTCATCATCTTGTGGAATCTTAGCACAGTATCGCCACCCGAACCTGACTACCAAAGCGAATCTAATGTCCCATCTTGCATAGTAAACAATACCAGCTATAAAACACATGAATAGTACCACCCCAAGGATACTGACCGCCACCTTCGCCGTGTTGTTATCACACTGCCACCAGTCAGGTTTGAATTCAGTGATTGGAATTCTCTTTGATGTACCTGTAGGAGTACCAAAGCAAAACTCTTCTGAGTCCTCCTTGTCAAGTCTCTGAAAATATTGCTGAAACCACCGTATATTGCAGTCACAGATTAACTTATTGTTGCCCATTTGAAGTACACGTAGCGATACTAAGCCATCGAAGGCGCCATCTTGGATGTTTGATATGGAATTAGAGGAGAGTTTCAAGGTGTGGAGTTGATTCAAGTTTCTGAATAGTCCCTTGGGAATAGTCTGCAGTCTGTTTCTTAAAAGAGTTAGATATCTCAGACGCTCCATAGAGTCAAACATTCCCACTGGTAGTTCCGATAACAAGTTACTACTTAAATCTACATTTGTTACATTGTGAAGGGATTGAAACATAACGAGGAGTGTTGGGGCATTGGTAAGATACAGCCTGTTAGAACTCATTTGTAAATCTCGGAGATTTGGCATTCCTTTGAAGTAATCTGCGTTCTGTATATCACAATGTAAGTATGCATTGTTTCTAGACAGGTCTAAGGTCTGTAATTGTTGTAAATCTTGAAGCTTTAGCTTTTTCAAATTGAAGGAGGGAGACGCTTCATTGAGTTCATTGACGGTAAGCTCTTCCAAAGACGACAGGTTTTTGAAGACAAAACATTCATTTCCATTTCGTTTATTAGGCCTAAACTCCAAGCTCCTTATACTTGAGTGATCCTCCACGTAATAATGCATTCGCTTACGCGACTGAAAGGAATCCAAATTGTTTATAAAACGGAGTTTAGTTAAGTGTGGACATGCGTTTAGAGTACCAACAAGAATATTTGTATCCAGATTGTTGTAACTAAAATCTATACTTTTGATCGTGTTTCTGGGGGGCTTTAAAGCAGCTACTAGCGAAAAGGGCTTGATCCCACAATTATTTAATTTTAAATCGGTAAGATTGGTCAGGAATTTAAAAGTTAATGGTTGCACACGCCCTAAATGATTCTGTCCAATATCTAATTTTCTTAGAGATGTATTTTGAAGGTGAAAGAATGTAATCGGATCTAGTTTATCAAAGAACAAGCCTATACGTCGGGCATTCAAGGTAGAAATTCTACTCTTCCTTAAACTGTAGGTAAAATTCTGAAATGCTTTGCAGCTAACTGGCCTGACTGGATGAGTAGAGTGCCGCAGTGTAGTTTTGCAAAGAGGATTAAAGGAAATTGATAGTTCCCCGATGCTCTGTATGTCTGTAAAAGTGTTGTCACATATCTGTGTTATGTTGTTCCGTCCCACATCCAGACTGAGTTGGCCATACGCTGACAGAGGTTGTAAATCTGTTCTACATAACTTCGAAATTCGATTGGAATACAACCTCAGGTAAAGTCTTTCACGAGAGAAGCTAGTTGAAATTTTAATGCGACAATCGTGTATTTGGTTATGATTTAGAAGGATATTCCTTATTTTAGGGTTGGTGAATATTGCTTCAGGAAGATGCTGAAATTTGTTGTATGATAGTTGAAGCACTTTGAGCTCCATACTTGTGCCGAAAACACCATCTGAAATGTTTTGCAATCCAATTTTCTGCAGATCAATGGTATGCAATCGTTGCAAATCTTTAAAAAGCGTTGATGTAAGTGACAATCCAAAAATATCTTTATTATAAGACAGATCGATACTCCTGAGAGACTTCAGCGGCTTAAAGATTTGTTCGGGTGGATGTCGTAGATGGTTGACACTCAAATCCAAGACTTTTAGAAGGTCAAGGCCGTAAAACACGTCCTTATTCAGGTATGATATATTGCACGATTTAAGAAGCAAGCTTCTCAGTTTCGACAGGAACTGAAACTGTTTATCATGTATGATCCTGAAATCATTATATGAGAGATCAGCAGTAATTGTTGTTATCGGGAGATCGACTGGAATCGCTCGTAGATGTCGTCGCCTGCAGTTCACATTTGCAGCGTTTCTTGGTCCGTGGTGCACTTGGATAACACACTTGTGGGTTGCAGTTGCTGTCGTTTTCCCCGACATGGCCGCCCACAGGGAAACCAAAATACATGTACGTATGAATAAGTATCCCGTGTGAAGACTGACTCTAGTCATTGTTATGCTGAAAGTGAAACAAACATGCCTAAGTGAACGTCTTACGTTTCCCGCATTTCTTTAAATTTTTAGATACAGTGTATCAGATGTAATCAGTGTTAGAAATTAAGGCTGGACCGTCTGCCCGGGGCTGACAACTTTTAGTATGGGCTGATAAGTTTTCCCACCTGGCAGACATTCAGTCCAGCTACTTTTCAAGATGGCTGGACTTTCGGTCCAGCAACTTATTTTTCTAAGAGGCAAACACTGGATGTAATAATTAATTAACAATTCCTCAATTATATTTTTATAGAATGTACATGCACTAAGGCAGAGGTACGTGTGTCAAATAAAATCATAAAAAGAGAGAAAATCAACAGAAACTCACCGTTCTATGAAGGATATATGAAGAATAGCGAGGGTGTTCTTTCTGTCGGTGCGAAATTACATAGCTCAATAACTGGTTTGATCAGTAATTCCATATGAAATATCCGAGCCAAAAATACATTAATAAAACCTATCCCAGTTGATCTTCTCATTAACTGTCTAAAACGTTTTGTTGGAGGCAAAAATATTATGCACGTAAGTATTACAAATCCTTTTAAAGTAACTTTCATTTCCTATCATCATTTATCAAGTGACACACACCGCACTGTAATCTAGTCACGGGTATCATATGAAATTGGACTTGCTGCGTTTCCGAATTTCTGAATTTCCGCCCACATTACTATTGTTTTCTTCCGGTAAGATAAACAATTACTTCGCGTTCACGTAAATGGATTCTTCAGCAGATCACGAGTATGGTAGTGATATTCACTGACTGAGATACCAGCCATGATCAATATACCTAATTCCATTTTAGAACTACTGTTAAAGCAATGCTTGTTGACATTGTAGTCAGCGCATTTAAGTTATTTGTGTAAATTTAATGAAGTTACATAGGTTAAATGTCCTGGATTGCATGGCAACTCCACCGCAGTACCGGTTTGAAATTTAGATAAATCGTTTTAAATCTTATCACTTCATCTTTTCTGTGGAATTCAAAATTTCATTCGAAATAGCATGTGTGTGTGTGTGTGTGTGTGTGTGTGTGTCAAAGGCCCGGACCAAATCTAGTCCTATGCATAAAAAGCCCAGACCCCATGTTTATTACGCCCTGGCTGGGCCCATTCTTTATGGTGTCTTTGCATTGTTAACAGCATAATGGGCAAGTTAAATGACCAAGTTAATTGGCCAAGCTGCCAGTTTGTTTGTATGGCATGTGCAGGGAATGTCTTTGCTTTAAGAAAAAGTCGTTCATTGTTGTACGCAAGGCAATAAATTGGTATATTGTTTACAAGTTCATAAGTTTGAAAAAATCATTTTTCATTAAACGCGCCACTGAGCAAAAAAAGTTGATTTCGTAAATGAGATTCAAGGTTGAAGACAACTTTAATTCCTGAAATATTGAACGTCATGATATACGTGCTTTTGTTAGTTTATTGGCTAATTCTTCGAGCAGGAGGTGCAGACGGCTGCGTCCTCCAGTTATCCGGAAAAGAGCTAACAGCCGGTTAGTTAACTGGCCAGTGTTTAACTGGATAAAATATTTAAAGGTCAGTTAACTAACCGACTTTTTAAACACTGTTTATGAAACACAATTTCAACTGTTGTTTAGTTAAATATATTTGTTGTGGGTACGCAGACACGTGACGTTTATGTGCGAACTGTTCAGTAAGGTCTGAGTAGTGTTAATATCATGTGACTGGTCACTTGAGTAGTGTTATCAAATAGAAGGTGATGAGGAAAAGTAGATTTTAGAGTTAGGTCATTCGAAGGCTCTTTCGCATTCCGTGAAGATGGCAGAGAATATATATAATTCCCTCCCACCCACCCAATTTGAAGGAGTTTTACTTTAAAAATTAAAAAAANAATGGAAAGACTAATGAACATTACATAGTAAAATGAATATGAAATAAAAAAATTCCTTGCAAAAACTACTTACAGAACAAACTACATGTTCACTTATGAAATTTGGGCTAAAATCCAATAGGCAGATCACGATATTTCTCATATTTCCTATAGTCTACTACATCCATTTTCAATTAGAAAACAAACTGCATTTACATGAAATCAGGCTTAAAATCCAAGGGACAGATAACGATTTATTTAGATTATTCTCATATTTCCTACATCTATTTTCAATTCGAAAAAAACCTTCTGAACATAAATTCGAATAAATTCGAATATAGGCCTACATCAATAATTTCTGCATCATCTGGTCGATAGAATGATGCTGTTAAGACAGAATTGCCGAAAACAGTTAAATTTGGAAAATAAAGCAATTTTCATTCCCATAAATGTATTTGTTCAACAGATTAATGGCAAAAACATATATTTCAGGATAAAACGTGTACATATTTTACATTGTAAGAACTACGTTCAGAGATAAGTAAAACACGAAAATAGTGTCTTTTCCATCATATGAATGGTATTTACATGTACGAAATCAGCTTTTCAAGAAGGGATTTTTCTCAAATAGAAATGAAATTTCTTAATTCTACATACTTCACCTGAGACACAAAATAATCGATCTTGATTCGTAAAATGGCATCTCTTACTCAACAAGACAGAAAATACTCAAATTTCAAGAGACGATAATCCTTTTTTCCCTTCTGAACATTGAAAGAAAGACACACAATGAGCGTAAGTCGTCTCATTTTTGATTTCAGTACATTTGGAGAATAAGACTGAAGTTTACTCTCGCCGCAGCCGGTAAAAACAGAAATTAAGAATTCGACACCGGACTTGTAGAATGGATTCGATAATGTGTTCATTGGTGATTTAGGTGAAATTGTTGAATATTACAGAAAAATATTTGGCTTTAAACCGGCATAAAATTTGTGTATTTTTGCGTACTTTATTCTCATCCAAACTAGAAAGTCATCCCTTGCTGTCTTGCTGAAGAATACCACATATAGTACCATTTCACAAACGTCACTTGTGACAATCTTGAAACTACGATAGTATACAACATATTTCAATACAATAAAGCATTTTTTAAACTGATGACCATGCTTTCTGATATATGAGTACGTTTTAAATATATAACATTTAATTCGTAAATCACCTCAAATTCGTGATGCTATATTGATATAAAGCACGTAAAAGACACCTTTGGATAAAACCTTTTCAAACCCGTTCAGAACAGCATTTCGGGTCATCAGTTCGCCCCCTATGTCTTGAAGGGTTCATCTTATAACATGTCACGCAGAAATCAATACAACCACAGTTTAGCTCACACATTTTATTGAAATGAAATGTTAAATTTTAATTTACGAATCTTGCCAATATTCGAAATGGAAGTGTATTACTATATCCCCTTAATACTTGAATTATATTCTTTACTTAGAAAACGGACGTTTATTACTATACCTATGTCTTATTCTATAATTCCACTACCAACCGCTCACTAAATATCAACATGCCAATAGCCAGACTCTCACAAGACATTTCACAGCATTTTCCCCTCCTTGGCCATTTCTCACGGTAAACTTCGTCTGCCACTATTATTTCTACCGACGAAGTTCAAAATACTGAACATGAATTGCAACTGCATCTTCCTTTGTTTTATGAGACGTGATGAGATGACGTGAAGGAGGAAATAAATGGTACGTGGGGGAAAATGTTGGGAAATGGGTGTCAAACGGGTGTCAAAATACTTTTCAAAAATAAATCACAAGTAACTTATCACCAAATACCTAACATTGATTTCTTAAAACGTTATACTGATATGGCTGAAATTACGATAATCGTATACTTAATATCTAAGCCGCCTTCGCTCCACTTCCTGATCACTCAGCACTGAGGTAGTGACGTCTCCTTCCAGGCTGTCCATCCCATTACATTCATGGTAGGGGGAGGTGACAGGCTGAAGTGACCGCCTTTCCTTTTCAACTCTAACCAATATTTTATGGATGAAACTTCATTTGTACTTTACAACATTAAAAATACATTGGACGACTTTTAATTGTGTTCAGTATATTTCAAAAAATGCCAGACGAAAATTAACTTCAGATCCTTATCAACCCCAAATAAAATTGAAACGACATTATGTAGGTCACTGGCTTTCTTGACATGACTCAATGTGGTTCACTGATTTGAATATCTGAGCAGTTTTTGCTATGTTTGACCAACTAAACCTTACGATGGAGACTGCGGTGTTTTGATTCTGATGCTGTCTCAACCATGATTGTGACGGACTCCACAAATATCACCCCATTGTGTTAGTGAAGACAAAACGCGAGGCGGGGAGGGGGGATCAAAAGTTCATAAAGAAATTACCTAATGATCCATTGGAAATGACAAAATGATATTATAGTTTAAATTAGATGTTGACGAACCATTCAACAGGGAAAGTTGGGTTAAAAGGAAATATGCTGAAATAAAACGGCACAAATATTATGGGGGGAGGGTATGATGATGATATAAAAGGTTGGGAAATTGAGTTTTGACTGCGTTCAGGTGTTTATTGTTGTCCTTTAACTTTAACACACCAGGTTATACAAACTTTCCCAACTTGTACAGATTTATCTTTTCTACTTATATAACTAACCGTATGTTTCAACTATAGTAATTCACAAAGATGAACTTCGAATTCAAATATGACGTCTGTTGAGAAAGAGCGCCATTACTAAAAACGCAGCACTAGAAAAACTGGCAAAGCGTCAACGCTACGAAAGGAACTAAAATTAAAATAAGTTCCAGCAAATGTTATG